CATCGCTCAGCTTTTCGTTACCGTATTTTTCCTTCAAAAGCTTGAGCTTTGGAGCATCAACTCTGTGACGCGCCAGAAGCGCCCCCTTCAACTCGTCGACAATGGTCGACTGTTGCCGGACGGCACTGTAAACGTTACGAAGGGTTCTAGCACGGGTGCAAAAACCCTGCATCCTTCTTGGTGTTGTTGCTGGGAGGCGTTCCTTGCTTGTATTCTGAGCTTACAGGCGTATTCTTCGCGTTGTGGGTGTTGTCCAGCGGATGAAAAAGCACAAGAGGCACCACAAGAAATAAAAAGAGGAGCCAGAGACGGGTAAATGCACACAAAACCAAATGAACGTAAATGTGAAAGAACGACGGCGAGCGGCAAGAAGAAGCCGACGGCAAGTTATGTAACGGCAGGCACCACCCATCCTCCATACACACACACACACACACACGCTCCAACAACACAGATGCCTATTCTGCTCCCCCGACCATGTTGCACGTGAACAACGCGCACCGAGCACCACGCCTTTGGCCTCACCAACGCATGAGTAGCACGGACGGCACACGAGCGGAGTAAACGCTGCGTCGGTCGTCTTCATTCGTCCACGATTGATACCATCGCCGAGCACATTCGGCGCAATACTTGCAGCCGCGCCGTCCGTCACCCTCCCCCCCCCCCCCGCACCCCGCACCACCAGAAAGTCGTGAGAAAGCAGAATCCGCGGGAGGGAGGGGCTGTCGCGGTGCAACGCATTACCCAAACTCCAAGACAACAGAGAGGGTGGACATCCACAGTGCCTCTCTGAGTCGCTGTCTTGTGGAGGAGGCAACCAAGTGAGGCAGACGGAGGGGAGAGGCGTGGGAAGTAATGCAAGCGGGGGCGGTGTCCGCAGAGAAGCAGGCACGGGGAGAAAAGATCCCCGATAAACGTCAAAAGCAGCACACAGACGTCAATATTTCCCGCCCCAAAGACAAGCCCAAAAAGCACAGCCGAGCCCACCCATCCCCGACGGGCACCGCACAAAAAAACAACAACAACAACTAAAAAATAGTAGGCAGTGAAATTGCACGCCGTAGCTTCCGTAGCCCACAAAAAGCGTCAATACGTTTGTTGTGTGCCTCAAATGGCACCGACCGTAAATCGCATTGATCCACCCCTTTGCTAAGCACATCAAGTAACACCACCACGGCGAATTATCCAATCACTTCACAACTTCACATCATTCTTTTCTTTTGCGCCTAAGAACGGTGGTAAGGACCTCCCGACATCTTCATCTCACCTTTGCCTCTCTCGTGGTACGTTTCTTCCTGTCGTAGACCCCAGCCATTTAACTCTCCCGCGCATAGGTACATGTACACAGGTATATGCCTGGACACACGCACGCGCAGATGCAACGTTGCGCGCGTATACCCATTAACTCCGCAAATAAATAAAAATATAAATGAGTACCCACCAAAAAAAAACAAAAACAAAAATAGGCACGAATTCGTGTATGTAAAGTGCGTGGGCATAAGTGTGCATGGATGCAAACACGGGCACCCGCGTTGATGCCCTCCGTGCGCAGGCAGATCCACACATACAAACACACATGAGGGCGAGACGTGCGGATTGCCATTCCGTTTACAGCGAGTGCCCGGGGGCGGGCTCCTGTCCGAGCGGCCATACACAACGACAACTGGGTGTGGGCCTTACCGAGTCACTCGCCCACAAGCAACAAGGGAAAAAGTTTCCCACGACAGAAAAAAAAAAACACACACGCACAAGAATATAAATAATTAAACAAATAAACAACCAATATGCCCTTATTTTTTTGTAGAAATTACCAACAACACGAAACTTCAGGGACAAGACGCCGAACAATCAACACTCTCGCTCCCGCCCAAACACAACCCGCAAGTTTACTTCCTTATTTTCTTCTTTTGTTTGTGCAAGTTGTTTTTCTTTTCTTTTTTTCCTTCCACCAACGCACCCATGAGGAACGACGCACTGGACATTCCCCCACCCACCCCCTTCCCCTGTACGTACCCAGCAGCGCACTCCGCCGCTTCCCACCCGCCGAATTCATTCGTCTCGCCCACCTGGCAAGGCCATGCACTCACCACTCCATGCATGCCTACACGTACAGATGCGCGCACACAAAAGCACAGCACACAAGCACTTTTTCGCATCCCCAGAAGATACACGCATACGTACAAATTGCATTCCACCAAACACCATGAACCCCGCACCCTACGGTCACACAGCTGCACAGAGACTGCAAAAAAGTGTGCACAGAAGTAGAGACTAGCGTCATCGCAAACATAACTCATGTGGTGACGCGGCAGGTTTCCCTTAATTAGCAACACCTCCAATCCCACCAGCCACTGAATCCAACACCGTCCACGGAACTTCACACAGACGCATAGCCCCAGATGGGCTTCCCTTTTATCTTCCTTTACCTACACACATGTGTGCATATCACACTGCTTTGTATACAAAAATCGATTCTCGTCTCCTTGATTTCACGTGTCCCTGCGGGGTCGTCAGGGGAGAGAAAACAAGAGAACACAAAGCGCAGACAAAAATGCACACACGCACATGCAAATAAGCAAGCTGACCAGGGGCCTTATAAAAAGGGGACGCACTCACATCGCATGACCCTTCACCCCGTCACCCCTCACTCTCCCCTGCCCCTCCACTCCGCTTGCTTCCGTTCCCTACCAAACCCAAAAAACATGCCCGCTATAACCCGTCTACTGAATATTGAACTTACTAAAGAGTGCCTCGGACGTGATGGACTTCGGCCGCTCGATGGGATGGTCCTGCAGCCGACCCCAGACAAGGCCGCTCAGTATACCCAGCTGCCGCGAGAGGCCGAACAAAACGGTGTAAAACACCTGCTCCGTGAGGCCATAGTACTGAAGCACCACCCCAGAGTGGGCGTCCACGTTTGGGTGGGGGTTCTTCACCTTGCCGTGCTTTGTCAGAATGCCTGGCATGATGGAATAGATGGTGTCGACAAGAAAGAAGAGTTCGTCATCGGGTAAGTGCTTCAGGCAGTAGTCGCGGAGACACGTGTAGCGGGGGTCCGGCACACGCAGCACGGCATGCCCGTAGCCGGGCACCACACGCTTGGCGTTAAGACGCTCCCACGTGAACTTTTCAAGACCAGCCTCCAGCGCCTTGCGATCCTTCAAATCCACCCCAGCCGCCTTGCACTTGTCCCGCATCTCAAAGAGGTAGGAGAGAACCTCCTGATTCGCCAAACCGTGCAGTGGACCCGCCAGGCCGTTGAGGCCCGCCGAAAACGCAAGGTACGGGTCGCTCAGCGCCGAGGCAACCAGAGTTGCTGTGTGTACCGAGACGTTACCGCCCTCGTGATCGGCATGGATGGCGAGGTACAGGCGCATGCAATCCCAGAAGTTCTTGTCCTTGTAGCCAAGCATATTCACAAAATTGGCACTCCAGTCTAGCTCAGGGTTGCTGGGGGCCAACAACTCTGCCTTGCCAGTTCGCATGCGGCTGTAAATCACAGCTGCCAGGTGGGGAGTGCGAGCGATAATATCAAGGCCGTCGTCAAGGGCATACTCCCAGTAGTTCGACTTGACGGCGGTCCCATTGTTGTAGGCAGGCGCAAACTTGGAGAAGGCCTGCAGGGCAAGCACGCCAGCGGAAAACTGCGTCATCGGATGCGTGTTTGCAGGAAGTCCGGCAATGACCTTTGTGGCCGCCGCAATCGCCTCGCTGTCGGCGCGGCGGTGCAGCTCAACGTGCAACTCCTGCATCTGCTTGTCACTGGGGACGGAGCCGGTCATGAGGAGCCAAAACATTCCCTCGGGCAGTGGCGAGGAGCCCCCCAGCCACGACTTGGGCAGCCTCTCACAGCACTCGGGAATCGTCATACCACGGAAACGAATGCCGTACATCGGGTCGACCAGTGAAGGTTCATGCACCAGGCCAGTGATTCCACGCATGCCACCATAAGCGGCACCTACGGTTGCATCGCTCAGCTTTTCGTTACCGTATTTTTCCTTCAAAAGCTTGAGCTTTGGAGCATCAACTCTGTGACGCGCCAGAAGCGCCCCCTTCAACTCGTCGACAATGGTCGACTGTTGCCGGACGGCACTGTAAACGTTACGAAGGGTTCTAGCACGGGTGCAAAAACCCTGCATCCTTCTTGGTGTTGTTGCTGGGAGGCGTTCCTTGCTTGTATTCTGAGCTTACAGGCGTATTCTTCGCGTTGTGGGTGTTGTCCAGCGGATGAAAAAGCACAAGAGGCACCACAAGAAATAAAAAGAGGAGCCAGAGACGGGTAAATGCACACAAAACCAAATGAACGTAAATGTGAAAGAACGACGGCGAGCGGCAAGAAGAAGCCGACGGCAAGTTATGTAACGGCAGGCACCACCCATCCTCCATACACACACACACACACACACGCTCCAACAACACAGATGCCTATTCTGCCTCCCCCGACCATGTTGCACGTGAACAACGCG